TGACGAAAGCAGAAATAGAATGGATAAGAATGAATATCTTCACAATGCAAAAACATATAACCGGTTTCGAATTTATCTTCGTCACCATGTATTTCTGACGAAGATATATTCGATACATTATTGTATTGTGAAGCTGTTCATTCTCATTCATATCTTTTCTACCATGCAAATCTCTTCATTCAGTTCAATTGCTCAATCACACGCGCCGTAAGAAATGTTTATTTCATATCATATCTCACCTCAAATCAATCTTTACATTAATTCACACTCAATGCTAATATCTGTACAAGGAGCTATGTACTTCTACGACCCTATTTCACTATGTCTTTGGTTTATTTTGCTGAAGTTGACGAAAGCCCAAAATTCATTTTTGATTTTTTTTTTTTTTTTTTTTTTTGAGGTAGAGGAAAGTCTCAAATTCTGAAAAATTCTGAAAAAACATTCGGATTCTTGGCCTATTTCCAACTTTTACATATCTTTACATATCTTTCACTACCCAGCGACTGCTTTATCATCAACCTGTCAAACTCTTGTCTAGTCACACTTATCGTGTTTAAGCAATAGGAAGAGAATATTCGTGGATTTCAAATACCTTTCGAAAGTGGAATGTCTTTTTTAGATTATCTTTTAAACATTGTTCTTAAATAAAAGTTTAAGGTCAATATTTGAGAATCTGAAGAGATATGTCGTATTTACGTATATGTATTTAAGGAGAGAAAGAGGGAGAGAGAGAGAGAGAGAGAGAGAGAGAGAGAGAGAGAGAGAGAGAGGAGAGAGAGAGAGAGAGAGAGAGAGAGAGAGAGAGAGAGAGAGAGAGAGAGAGAGAGAGAGAGAGGAGAGAGAGAGAGAGAGAGAGAGAAGAGAGAGAGAGAGAGAAGAGAGAGAGAGAGAGAGAGAGAGGAGAAAGAGAGAGAGAGAGAGAGAGAGAGAGAGAGAGAGAGAAGAGGAGAGAGAGAGAGAAAAGTGTTGAATGAGCGTTAACGTGTGTTCTCCCTGCTCTCCCATTCTCCCCAAGCACCGCCTGGTAATTCCCCCATTAAAGTTATATTGCAATGTAATCTCACCAGCGCCTGACTTTATCCCAAACCACAAGCACTTTTATTATCTTTTTATGTACTGCAGCGATAATTACGTTGGACGATTTTCATTCGCGAGCATTAACGTGCAAATGTTTCGTTAAATGGAATTAGCATTTTTTAATCCTGCTTCAGTCTCTCTCTCTCTCTTCTGTCTCTTTCTCTTCTTTTCTCTCTCTCTCTCTCTCTCTCTCTCTTTCTCTCTCTCTCTCTCTCCCTCTCCTCACACACACACACACACATACACATCTTTGATATATCTGTAGTATGTGCGTGCGCTTGTTTGTATCATGCATTATAAAATTTGGTGTAATAATCCACTTTTTAAGAAAGCCATACAGAACACGTCTAAAAAAAAAAACTAACATTACGAAAAGCATGTAAAACTGAAAAAGACTAGCAAACCGAACTTGGTCCCAAGAAGATTATTATGGCTATTATTCTGTGGGAGTCGCCTAAAGCAAAGTCGCTGCTTCAGTCTCTCTCTCTCTCTCTCTCTCTCTCTCTCTCCTCTCTCTCTCTCTCTCTCTCTCTCTCTCTCTCTCTCTCACACACACACACACACAAACAAACATACACATCTTTGTATATCTGTGTATGTGCGTGCGCTTGTTTGTATCACTACATATAAACATTTGGTGTAATAATCCATTCTTAAGAAAGTGCATACAGAAACACGTCCTGAAAAAGCTAACATTAACGAAAAGACCGCCATGTAAACACCTGACCAAAACTGACTAAGCAAATCCGAACTTGGTCCCAAGAAGATTATTATGGCTATTATCAAGTGGGAGTCGATAGTTGCCAAAGGTACGTGATTATACGTTTCACCTAAGGAGAGAGGGAGGGGTCCAGCGACGAAAGGAAAAAAACAAGGAAAAACTATGAAAAAAATAGGAGAAAAAACGCTATAAAACACAAAATACGAGAAAAAACGCTATAAAAAACACAAAATACGATAAAAAACGCTATAAATACAAAATACGAGAAAAAAACGCTCTAGAAACACACATAATACGAGAAAAAACGCAATCAGTAATACAATCGACTACAAAACATAATAAATAAGCATCATCAAAGACTTACTATCAATGAAAAGAAAAATCGACGAAAACGCGTGTTTGTTTACATTGTAAGATCAGCGTGACGTTGTTCGTTTCCCTGTCTTCACGTCTTTGTTAGTTGCGTCTTTATACTAAAAGAGTGTAAGAATGAGGAACAGGTTAAACAGAAGGTAAATTAGTTAAGCTCAACAGCAGTAAATGCCAAAGCTCTGTGTTCTTCGCGGAATTTAATGATTTTACGATAATTAGCACAGGCTTCCGTTCTCTGTAGTCGCTAATGATATTACAGGGAAGTGAAAGATGCTATGAACTTGGTATATATTTATTAGCGACTTTCCAGGGCCAACAAATTACATATAGATATACAAATGATGAATAGAATTTCAAGATATGTACATTAGTAGATTGTCGATTATGTATTGTTTCATAGGGCGACGGAAAAAAAATTGTGAAGAAAAAATATTCGTTTCACGTTAAATATATTAGATAACCTGTAAACGATTATACGGTATATGTCGAATACAAGTTGATAAAAAACACCCTTAGAAAAAAAATGTGCATGTACTGTGTGTGTGTGTACGTGCGTGCGTGTGTGTGTGTGTGTGTGTGTGTGTGTGTGTGTGTGTGTGTGTGTGTGTGTGTGTGTGTGTGTGTGTGTGTGTGTGTGTGTGTGTGTGTGTGTGTGCGTGCGTGCGTGCGTGCGTGCGTGTGTGCGTGCGTGCGTGCGTGCGTGTACGTGCGTGTGTGCATGTACTGCGAATGACAGTACTGTAACAGCGTTCTGAACTCAATTATTCTACTACCTTCAAAGACTTCTCATGACATTCACTCTACACACCATGATTAACCGAACTTCAGATATCCAACTTCAAGGCAACCGACAGAGAACGAACGGCTCGACGGACTGACGAGATCCCAGACGCTTCTCTTTAAACCTCGCCGTTCTTCCGTGTCTTTGTCCGTTCTTTGTATCGCCGGTGAACATTAGGTGTTAATGCATTCGATGATGTTTGGATTATTCACCAACACTCAAGGATATACAGAAGGGACATCGAAGTAGCGTCTCTCTTTTGTTTTGTGATTGGCTATCCACGCTTGCCGTTACTAGTTGCCACTTTCTGTTTTTTTTCGGATTTGCGTACCGAATCATGGTCAGGCTGAAAGTGTAGAGAAAGAGAGGAGAGAGAGAGGGAGAGGGAGAGGGAGAGGGAGAGGGAGGAGGGAGGAGGAGGAGGGAGAGGAGGGAGGGAGAGGAGGGAGGAGGAGAGGGAGGAGGGAGGAGGGAGGGAGGGAGGGAGGGAGGGAGGGAGGGAGAGGAGAGAGAGAGAGAGAGAGAGAGAGAGAGAGAGAGAGAGAGAGAGAGAGAGAGAGAGAGAGAGAGAGAGAGGAGAGGAGGGAAAGATGAAGAGATGAAGGGAGGGAGGGAGAGGGAGGGAGAGGGAGAGAGAGAGAAGAGAGAGAGAGAGAGAGAGAGAGAGAGAGAGAGAGAGAGAGAGAGAGAGAGAGAGAGAGAGAGAGAGAGTGGACAGAATATTGCAAAGAGTTGCTTTAGAGGAGCTGGGGACAAACCTAAAGAGACAATTATGCCTTTTATGACGTCATCAAGGCTACCTGCCCTTTTCCGGTCTAAATTTATACAGTGTTAATAAGTACTTTTAAAAGGGCAAATTCTGTCAGTATCATCAATCTATGTAAATTTGTCTTCACCATATGACACTAATATATAGTACTGGCAAAAAAAAGAAAACAAATCTTACGTTTTATAACTATCTTTTATTTTCTCTTGCTTTTATTTATTTATTTATTCTTTTTTCCCTCCATTTGATTACCTATTGCTTATTTCTATTATGTTCTTTCCTCTATACTCCCAATTTTCTTCTATTTCCTCTTGCATCGCCTTGCCTCTCCTGTACACAACATTTTCATTTTTTTCTTGAAAATAGTTTTCCTATATCATATGTATGTGTGATTGTTATATTCTCTCATCTCTCCTTATTTTTAATCGAAACTCATCATTATTTGAATTCAACAAGTTTACACAGCTATGTAGGACTGTTTAATATGAATATTCATATCAAAGGCTATACATCTCTTTGATATGAATCTAGTCTTTGATTCATATATATAAAGTGATTAAACTGCATGGATGAATAGTAGTGGAGTTTGGGAATATTGTATCAATTGATAAGCGTTCGTTACTGTTCTTATTGTTGAAGGGAATAATATCATTTCAGTGGTCATTTCATTTTGCTGATATGAAATTATTTGTAGTGCAGTTGAAAATGTACCATTCATAGATACTTAAAATTCGTCTAATTAGCCGCTAAAAAGAAGAAAAATATATTGTTACAAAAGAATTGAAGTCAAGAGCCATGTATATATATATATATATATATATATATATATATATATATATATATATATATATATGTGTGTGTGTGTGTGTGTGTGTGTGTGTGTGTGTGTGGTGTGTGTGTATGTGTGTGTGTGTGTGTGTGTGGTGTGTGTGTGTGTGTGTGTATTTATTTATTTTTATTTTATTTATCTTTTAATAATAGCGAACAATCAAATTGACACGCATTTTGCGAATGTGTATGTGTATTATTACTACCGAATTGGGTATACGAATTGGAGCAAAAACAGGCATTGCTATTCTTCCACTCCAGTTCAACTTTTCCCACTAACAATATCTTCAACTCGACTGTGTATCCCTCAAGGCTTACCGCTATGCTCCTCACGCTCCAGTTCAACTTTTACCTCTAACATAAAAGAAAAAAAAAAAAAATCAACTAGACTGTATTACTCCAACAACCCGCCTTTTCTTTACCATTTTCTTTACCATAGCAGCGGCAAGGGTCTCAGCTGCGACCGTTTAGTTGGGTGTGCCTTTGGTATCGGTGAATCTCATTTTCCCGAATTGGTTTATCTTGTTTTCTTTTCAGAGTCGAATAATTTGAATAAAGGTATGCATTCTAGTATTAAATTATTAAAATAGGAGTAGCTAGGTATATCATAAGTTATTATTGTAATCTTTGATATTATTATTATAAACATCAATATAAATTTAATTGAAACTCTTCAGTCGACTAACGTAAATATTTGTTGGGGATTAACCTTATTGAAAAATAAAAGAGGAAACATTGGAGTACCTACTTTCACATGGAATAGATTATGATATACTGTATCCATGTGTAAGAGATTATTTGGCATGTTGAGATAAATATGCATATTTTTATTTAGTCACTTGCTCTAAGATGAATTCGCAGTATCTACGTCTTTTGCACCTGTCTGATGCACGCTGAGGATTTTAAAACAAACACACATACACACGCAAGCATACACAAATGCACAAATGTGTGTGTGTGTGTGTGTGTGTGTGTGTGTGTGTGTGTGTGTGTGTGTGTGTGTGTGTGTGTGTGTGTGTGTGTGTGTGTGTGTGTGTGTGTGTGTGTGTGTTTGCGTGTGCGTGTGCGTGCGCGTGCGCGTGTGCGTGTGCGTGTGCGTGAACAGCGTTGCATGCCCCTATCGATACAGGGAAGCCAGTTTTTTGACAAAAACTAAGTAACCGGATTGAAATAATACTATAAAAGACCAGTAGAACAATCCGGTATAAAAAAAAAAACGAAATAACAGGTTGGATGGAGGTCGGTGAAAATCGGACGAAAAGTTTCCCATTAGATCCACACCAACAGACGCCTACCCAGGGAAAAAGACCGAGTTGAACTTAAAATGAGTTTTTGGACTTGAGAGGCCACGCTGGGTAGCTCGATATCATAAAAAAATATATATACGTAGGAGGCAAAGAGAAAAGAAGAATAGAAGTAACACGAGGGAAGGCGGAAACAGGGAGATAGCAATTTCGAAAAAAAAAAACTTGCAATGTCTTCTGTCTTACTTCCTTTTTCTTTTTTGTTGATTCCCTTGTCGATACTGTCCAGTAGCCTTTATTAGCGCTTAGCAATAACGTTTATCCGTATGTGGGAAGGTTTGAAAGTATGACAACATGCTTGTGTTGGCATTAAGGATAACGGGCACCGAAGATTGAAAATTTATGTTATACCGTGTGTGGCGTTTATGGTCGATGAAACGCCATGTTTGACGAACGAAATATTAAGCATAACGTTTCTTTTAGGTTCTCTGGCACATATTTATCACAGCACGTCATTATGTAAGTTATTCGATCACATGTATGCGATAACTTTTTTTCAAAGTTACGAAGAATTATGAACTTGTCCAGCACTTCAAATGTGTATTAAAATATCATAACTATTCCTATACTTTCACTAGATTACAATATGATAACAAATTCATCGTTCGCTAACTATCTAGCAACTTCCGCTCGTTTTCAGCACGCCGAACAAAAGTCGGAAACTTCAACCCTCGTCAGTTATCGAAAGTTGCTGGAGGTAGATGGTCATGTTCCTCTAAGGGGATGTAAAGTGTGTTGTTTTTATCACTTTTCGGTACAAAGAGTGTATCATGCTAACAGTTATATCACAGATGTTTGGTAAAAAGGTGAAATGCCTAAAAGAATAAGAATGTACTGTACTTTAAAAAAATATCATTTCATTATTGTCATTCGGTTCTGCTGCATGAGGGTTTCCCAGAGTACAATCAGTTATTAAGTACAATAGATACAATTCTATCGTCAGTCTTATGTGACATTCATTCTAATCATAGCTTCTGAGTTAGCTCCTAATGCAAACAAAAGCCATTTCTTGGATATGAATTGGCCATAACCTTCCAGAAATGCGGAAACTTTCCCAAAGTGTCCCCGTTTGCCAATAAAACTCTTGTCCTCAGTAATTACAGACATTATACACAGAGACATTACACACAAAAGACAACCGTAATACTCATAAACATACATTCCCTTCACCCCACTCCCCAGTGTGTCATCAAACCGTTGTATTTCAGAACACTTGCGGCTGAGATGAAGAAAATACAAGACGTTCTCGTATACAAACGGAAAGTCGAGAAATATACGGCTGTGAAGTCATCCACGGGCGTACGGACTTCGCGGTGTATGTGTGGAGAAAAGTACAAGAGGATGGTTAAACGTTTAAGAAAGAAACGGGTTATGTTTCTAGACAAGTGGGTGGTAATGCCTGTGCTTAGTGAAGAAACAGCTGTTGATGTTTTTTGCAGCGGTGAGGATAACAGAGGCGGTGGGGATATGGCTACCCAAGGTTAGTAGTTGAGATTTGTGTTTATAATTGGCTATTTTGGGGTTCTGAAGGATAGGAACATCGTTTTAGTTTTAGTGGTATCTATTTTTTGTAGTATCTTTAATTCAGTTTTCTCTGTCATTTTTCATTTATTTTTTTTTTCTCTCGTTCACATTCCTCATCTGTCTCTGT